CCTCCACATTCATCTCCCTATGGCAATTAAACACTCCCCAAAGATAGGAATGTGTTTTTGTTATATCAGTTCATGTGGTGGTGGTGATGATGATTATAGTGGTGGATTCATACATCTTTCCAAAGCAGACTTCTTCACAATAAATAATTTTTTATCATTAATTCAACTCAAGTGAATCCCTGTAACTAGGTCAGCCACCACTCCATAGCTTGTGCTAACCCTCCCCCTTGGTTGCTGAGATGTAGTCCTACCACCTATTCATTTTGTTACTACTTTTCAGTTTATAGGGTGTTCGTTTATTTATTTGTTCAGTCTGCTTTGAAACACTGAAACCTCATTTTTACACAATTCCAGGAAAGTTCCAAGTAGAACTTCCCATTAGTTAGATTGGCTAGCTTAGCTAGATATATGTTCCAGAATGCATAAGTCTCTACCCCTCAGTGCTGAAGTCAAGGGAACATACTACAATATTCAGCTTTTACCTGGTGCTGGAGATCTGAACTCGGGTCCTTGTGTTTTCATGGCAAGCACTTTAGCCATTGATTCCTCTCCTCAGCCCCCCACATGTACATTTTTTAAAAATAACTTTAGTTCAGTATATATCTATGTATATATAAATTACATTTCTTGGAATGTTAAGACCATGGCATAAGACCTCATTATGCTTATAGCTATTTTTTTTATGAATTCACTTAGAGAGAGTCCAAATCTATTTCAAAGAGGCATCCCAAAGAAGTTAGATATCTGTGGTTGTTTCTCTCACAGCCTCCAAAACTGCAGCCAAATCTTAATTCACCCAGAAAGTATCTTATTTTATTTTCAGTAAAATTGATTTCTTAACACAGATTCCTGTACTGTCATTAATGAAGTACTATTCAACTTCAGCTTTTAGACTGTGTGTTCTTCAATCTAAATCTTTCCTCCTTAAAAAAAATGACAATAATGGGGTCTGGAGAGACAGTTTAAGGTTAAAAGCACTAAGTTCAATTCCCAGCACCCATATAGCAGCTCACAACTGACTGTAACTTCAGACTCAAGGAATCTGATGCTCAGTCTTTATTGGCACTAGACATGCAGGCAAAACACTCATATGTTTAAAATCAGTACATACAATTAAAGATTTTTTTGACAATGTATAGAACTTAAGGCTGTAAAGAAAAATATTTTGGAAGGACTATATGGTGGAAACAAGCCAATGCCATTGACTCCTAGGATAGAAACTGACTCAACTTTCCACAGTGAAATAACAACAACTTTAGAATCATCTGCAACTTTGAAACCACAAGTCTTGCTTTTGACACTTTGGATATTTTAAGTTGTTTCTACTGACCCAGATATTCTTACTGTGTTGAATTTCTTTTCATGTAAACTTTGAATTATTTTAGCCTCTCAGGAATTTCAGATTATTCTAATGATCTGTAGAAAGAAGTATCCCCCTCTCCTGGGAAACACATGTGTACTTGAGCCTGCCAAATTAACACAAAATTTTCACTACTTACAGGAGTTCAGTGTGTGTGTGGAGAGAACACTGTATCCTCGTGTTCTGAAAATGGTAATCCAAGTATGTCCATGCTCTTTCGGTTGAGTGTTATTTACAGAAAACAGTATTAAGATTCAGAAAGCACCCGGGGTGTCTGAGCCAATTTATTCTTTGAGAAGATAGTTATATTTGCTTAATGTCTTTATTAGTTTTCACAGCTACCAATAAACATTTCAAATCATTTCAGATTTCTTGGCATATAGTCATATTTTTTTTCTTTTACCAAAACCTGCGAAGTGTTGACAGCATAACACATTTTATAAAAATACATTAAGGACTTTAAGTTTTTTTTCAGATCCAGATATCATGTGTCAAAATACAATTCTCAAAGCATTAAGCATAGTTCTCATGAACACGAACACTGAACAAATGCTAAGATTTCATTTAGCTCAGCTTGCAGCATGGTGACAAAGCCAGCTTGAGATCTGCATCCATCACTTTAGCAAGCCAGACAGGTAAGGATGCAATTCTGTGACAGCCCTGAGGGAGGGCAGTTTTTCCTTTATCATTTCTTTGATTTATAGAATATATCTGAACAGAAAACTAGAAAACTCTGGTTAGATAAGCTGTCTATTGGTAGGATGGCTCTCTTTTGCTCTGCTAAGACCCATGGTTCTTCACCATGCATCAGACTTACCTGATTGCCACGTTAAACAGATTTCAGGATCCATTGTAGCTGCCTGCAGAGCTGCAGCCTGTATTTCTAACAAGCCTCTGTTGGTGCTGCTTGCTGTTCCTGGGTTACTTTGCCTGAAGATTAAGTGAGGCAGTGATATAGTAGCCTAAGTCAGGAAGAAGCTCTGGTGGCCTCTGTTTGGCTCTTGCCATTTCTCCTATGCCATTTCTATTTGCTTTTCCGGTCTTATCTGTACACACCAGACCATCCATACTTTTGGGGTTCCATCACCAAGCCTACCTTGATGTACCCTCCTTGGATGTTTCTGTAATTGAAATCTTCATTAACAGTTGTTGGTAGTTAAAAACAAACAAACAAAAACAAAAACGCTTTTCTTTTTTGCATTTCTTATATCTTTTTCTCCCTACTCCACCCCAATCCCTTCCAGCACCCTAACACCAGGTAGGAGAGAGAAAGGGTTAGTGGGGAAAGGGACACAGCTTCTTAGCTGCTTCCTGCTGGTTAGGGTGGTTAGGTTTCTTGGAGCAGTCCAATCCTCATTTCAGGACATCTCCATCTTCTTGTCTCACAGCAGCAACCAGGAACAGCAAGGGGGAAACAGTACCAGCCTTTTTCTTTCTCTGATTTCCACACTTTCTGGACTCTGGCATTTATACTCTCTCCAGAGTCCTCAGATTTAAACTTTCTGCAGTTGGCAAAGAGCTCTTCTCAGAGCCCGAATTAGGCAAATAGTCTGCTGCTGTGGACTATCAAAATCAGTCCCACACCCCACACCTGGGACCAAAACAAACAAACAAACAAACAAACAAACAAACAAAAAAACATGTTTATAGCTACAACAAATAGTCAAGTTCCCAGTATCTTCCTCACAAAGGCCTGATCACCCTTGCTTGTGCCATTTCTCTTGATGAGTATAGTTTTACTTCCAGCCAGCATTAGATAGCTCCAAGCCATGTGTTGTTGTAAATTATAAGGCACCCCTCCCCAGTAATCATTAGTGAGCTCCTACCAAGAGGGGTGCTTTTTAACTTTTGAATGTTTGGAAGCATACAGAACAATCCTTGCTTTTCCACTCTGCCATGCCCCAGCTTGCTTGTCTGTCAGTGTGGTTTAAATTCTTGTCAAAAGTGAAAAAGACCTGATAGCACTAACAAACTTGCTTATTAGGCCCCAAGCCCTAGACAAGGATCTCTAGGCAACCAATGAATGCTGAGAGCCTAAGAAATAGTTTGCTCTGGGTATCAGCCCTCGAATTGGTTATCCAATACCAAATAGTCATCCCTGAACTCATGTACGTACAGGTAACACTATGTGCGTTGAGCAGATTGTATATGTCATTGAGTAGAGAAAAAGAGCCCAGAAGCTATCAATTTAGAGAGATCAGAGACCCCCTGCTCAACATGGGAGAAGCTGGAGGGAGAACAGGAAAAGGAAAAATGATGTAAGTATATTTTAAATTTGAAAAAAAAATGTAAAACTTTAGTGATTCTAAGGAAGTGAGAAGAAGGAGACTATGTACTCAGGAAGGGGGCGAGGCTGCTCTTGGTACTCTTTGGGAAGATTCTGAAAGGCTAATTCTAGGGATGATTAAATGTATGCCTGGGAGTTGGAGGTGAGAGGGACAGACTGTGTGTTTCAGGAGTTGGCAGGGCAAAGAAGAGATGATTAAGGAAATTATCAAAGTTAGCAGTGGTGGGTGCAAGCCTTTAATCTAGCATTCAGAGGCAGAGAGGTGGATCTCCACGTGTTCAAGGCCAGCCTGGTTTACATCTACAGAGTTCCAGAACAGCCAGGACTACATGAAGAAACCCTGCCTTGAAAAATAAAAACAAAACAAAACAAAAAGAATGAGAGAGACAGAGAAAGAGAGAGAGAGAATTATCAAAAGACAGAATAGGATCAATTGAGGGACTTTTGTCTTTTAAGAGAACAACTGCAAAGAGAATGATTTGTGTACAAGAGTAATAGAGTGGATTTTTAATGTTATAGAAAGGAAGTTTCTCAGAAAGATGGAGGCAAATCCAGAAACTACAAATATGTGCTGAATTTTGGAGAGGAAATACTTTATTTTCTAGCTAGAGGAAAAGAATGCATTTATATCAGCTGATCTTTGAATCAAGTAAGATTAAGTATTGACCATCTTTGAAATGAGAAGTCTAGGGAAGGCTAAGGTAGAGGTGCACATTGCTAGTGGACCAGCGTGGGACAGAATGAGTCTCTGAATGGACAGCCTGACACAATGATTCCTCCCTTTGCTGCCATCCTACTATCATGTGGAAAGGGTGAGGGCAGAGACAGCCCCAACACAGCATGAACTGGGTTTCCTTTCCCTGTACTACCTGCTCCCTCACTCTCAGGAGACCTGCCGCTACTGCTAGATGGCTTTTCACGTCTCTTACAGGCTGTCTGATTAGTAGAGAAAGTTCAGTCCTTTCCTATTCTATCCGTGTTCATCTCCACTACTGGTGTAGAAAAAGAAGTGGAAGTCATAGAGTCATAGGTAACATTTCCACTTCACAACAGGCAGGGAAGTAATGCACTCTCTCTCCAGCTGAAGTAAGCCTAAGCTCAGGTCCTTTCTTAATGTTGGATGCAACAGTGGAATCCCTCCAGGGATCTTTATGTATATATATATTGCTAAGGAGCTCCGTGGGAGATAAAGTAATCTAAAAGCAAGCCCTGGGCTTCTGTTCTTAGCAGAATTTGATTCGGCTCTGCTTTAGGATTTCATTGAGGAAAGACTTACCACTTACTCCCAGTAGGTGAGGGAGGGCAGCTTTTATCATTTCAATGGAGGATGAGAATGCTTGTATCTCTTTCCAGGACCAAGAAACCTCCTTCCCCAGGGCGCTCTCAGCTCAGAGGCTGTCCCCTCGGTGGTGCTTCCTAGATGGTGAGTGCTGGGGACTGGACTGGGACTGGGTGGGAGGCAGCAGGACAAGGTGTGGCCTACACAAAGATCTTTCACAAAGCCTTTCCGTGGTTGGAGTTTACAGTTCAACAAGGCAGAGCTGCTGATCTTTCCTGAAGTCATTTCCCTCAAAGCACTTCACCGTCTAATTTTGTAACTGACACTTTCCCTTTATTACCTTCCTTTGCTGAAAGTCTTGAGTGCCTACCTCAGATTAGCGTGGGCCAAGAACTACAGTGTGTGATCACAAGTGGATACTGCTTCCTGCATTATTTCCACACCTTTGAAAGTTCATAGTTTTGTGAGGCTGTCATTTCAGTATTGTCCACACATTTGTGGGAAACGGAGAGTTTCCCTTGCATCTGTAACTTTTTTGCTGAGTGTGACCTATTGCACACTTAATGGTGTTAGTTATCATGTGATCATTTAATGAGTTTGCTTGCCATCTGATGCATTTATCACTTTCCTAGATGTTGTCGAATTCCAATTTTCTACCTAATTATCTACACTGCAATACATCTTCATCTCTCTACATTCCTGCTTGTCTGCTATCCAGTGTAGCTGGGTGAAGTTTCTGTTGTCTGCATGGAGACATAATTTCCTTGCTGTTGCCCTTTTGTTTATTGGTGTGTTCATCTGAGAGGATGTGGGGGTGGAATGGATAGATGGATAGAGGTTAGTTACACAGAAGGTCACATGTAGCTACCAAATCTAACATCAACCAAGATATGGGTTTTCATTCCTAGCTCAACTGACTGATGACTTCCCTTCAGTTCCTGTTAATCCAGAGTAGTGAATTAATCCACAATCATTTTCCACTCCCAGAGTCACAGGGAAGCAGTACGTATCTAAGAAAATCAAGAGTGCCTTTACACAGTCATTGCATTCAATAAATAGGCTTAGATTAAATTGTGTTATGGATAATGGTTTTAACTATGAAACTGTTTTAGTACATAAGCGTTCTGTTGTAAACCTTTCTTCATTTATTAGGCACTTATTTTTAATTTTTTTTTCAAGTTAGCATACAAAATGATATGTTTGTGTTTTGAAATTTTTTTATGATTAAGTCTTGTGTGGCGTCAAGCCTGAAGTCGTACTTGAAAGAACAGAGAAGAGTAAGTCCTGCGAGACTACATTGCTTTAGACTTAGGCTTTTAAGCAGGACTTTGATTCTCCTATTTCTGAGCCCAGTTTCCTTCAGAGAGTTACATTTTTTTTCTTTTCCTTTTTAGAGTCTTCTCTTATACAATACATTCGACCATGTTTCCCCTCCCTCCACTCTTCCCATCTCCCTGCCACCTCCCCTCCCCTCCAAATCTACTCCCCCTCCATCTTCCATCAGAAAAGAGCAGCCCTCCAAGAGACAGAAACCACACAGGGCAAAACAAGATATATAACAGGACAAGACAAACGCTCTAATAGATACACTGGCTCACACTGTTAGGAAAACACCACAAAACGTCAAGCTAACTGCCATAGCATATATGCAGAGGGCCTGATGCAGAGCCCTGCTGGCCTATGCCACTTCAGTCTCGGTGAGCACATGTGCACCCTGCGTTATTCAGTGGGGGCCACATTCTTTTGTGGTATTCTCCATTCTCTCTGACTTGTACAATCCTTCTGTCCCCTCTTCTGCAGAATTCCCTTAGCTCTGAGGAGACCTCCATTTTAGCCCCTCTCTCTTCATAGTGTCTGGCTGTGGTTCTCTGCACCTGCTCCCATCTGCTGCTGAAGAAAGCAGCAGATTTTCTCGTTACAAGTATCTTTTTCTCTGTTATGCTTTCTCTCTCGCTTTTGGTCTGCTTTGTAAAAACTCTCATATTTGGGCTCTGTTAGATTTAAGTAAGAAAAACAATCTTTTAATATTAAGAAGAATCAAATAACTTGGAAAATACCCTATGTCTTACTTCAGAATTTTTTCTTTCTCAAATCAGAGATTCAGCCCAATCTAATTTTAAGATTGCTTAAACAATAATCTTTGTTTTGTCATTGGCTTCCTTCAGACATGACTCTAGGGGCAGAGTGTGGAAGGAAAATTATTTCTTTGAGGCCACATGTGGTCTCTGGCTTGCATCTTCCAAGTTGCTTTCCAAAATGAGTCACATTCTATCTAACTACAATTTTTTTCTAAGTTTATTTACTTAATCAAATAATCAGTCCTCCCCTCTGTGAAAAACCTGTGTTAACTCCTGGAGACATGTGAGAATAGATCAAAGATGGCCCTTTAAAGATGCAGGTTTTTAGTCTTAGGGTCATCTTTGAAGACAGTTTCTATAAAGGGTTTAAGTAAGATGTCCTTGTGCACAGGGTTTCAGAGCAACAGACTTTCTGCTGTAGGTGGTTGGGATAGAGGAAAGGTTCGTTATGGGGAGGCCACCAGAGATGACCACTCAGACATAGTTTAGAGCCAATCGAAAGTCTTTATTCCAGCCATCTGAGACTGCTACACTCATGTAGGTATTCAGGTCCTAACTATAGAGTATCCAGAGCCCAGGGTTTTTGAAGTAAAAATCAAATCCTGGCATCTCAATCAACAGCTACAGGTTGCACTTTGTGTAAGGAAGCAATTTGGCAGAAGCAAAGATAACCAGTTAGTCAGAGGTGGGGGTTCTACACAAGCAAGGAATTTACAGAAGCAGATAAATTAGCTAGGGCACCTTGACCTTGTGTTCCTAGAATAGAGGATTCTCCATCAAGGAGATCAATTTCTACTTAAACCTGAAATGGCCTCAGCAAGAATTCAAAGATGGAGAACCCTCTGTTCTGTTTGCCCTGTTTCAGTTTCACCAAGACAGGGGCATTTGAGTTATTGTTTAAAGACAAGCGAGATTCAGGGAACTGTGTGGCTGGAAGGGCTTAGGAGCACTAAAATAATGGTAGCCAAAGCATAGAAGTGATGTTTTTTTAGTAATAGATTTAGGAACTGGCAAAACCTATGTTGCATGCTTATAAAACAAAGGTTTTGATTGATAGCACAGTAGAAAGTAAGGCTGTAAATCTGAGTCAAATATAAATTACTCTAAATGTTCTGTATATATTTTTTCCTTAGCAACTTCTGCTGACCGCTTTTATCGAATAGACAGATCTCAGGTAAGTTCTTTACAGCTTATTTATGAAAGTGAAGTGTCCCCAAGTCAGTGCACCATGTTGATAACTAGTTTCATAAAGTTTTTCTAGTGGAAAGATTAAGGCAGTCCTTAATACGCTGGTGTTCATAATCTAAGCCACAATGCTTTTTGTCTGCATGTGCTTTATGACTTTTAGGCTCAGTGAAATGGCTTAACATGGCAAGTGAGAATAGATAATAACTTGAATTATGACTATTGTTACAATCCTCCACTCTTAAGGTTTTTTGTTTTGTTTTTGTTTGTTTGTTTGTTTGTTTTTATGCTGCTTGTACTGTGGCCAAAGCAAAGCATATACTTTTAAAATGCATTTTTGTTTACCTAGTATAAATATAGCCAGCATAGATTTAGTTTATTAATACTTCCCCATTTTTAATAATAAGGAAAAATTATGTTTACACAATGTTAACTACTCCTCCCACTCTTCATATTTTCCTGGAAAAAAAAACTATACAGTATTAGACTCCCTGAAACTTGGCTTTTTTGTAACTATTGCCACTTAGCTTTGGTCACACTGTGGGGCAGAGGTCTGAGCTCTCATGTTCTCGTGCTGGAGTGGATAGCAGTTGGGATGTCACATCTTTGATAGGAACTGGGAAGAATCGGGGGAAAGAACCTTTTTGGTTCTGTATGATAAGATCCTGGTCAGGTGTGACTCCTGAACCAGAGAAGTTCTTCTCTCCCCATTGTCCTCTGCCTGCTACACTATTAAGTCAGGGAGGGACAGAAAATACTCACGCCTCTGGGGGAAAAGTGGATTGCCTGGTGTGTGGCACAGTTCACTCCTCTTTGAGACCAAGCATGCTTGGTTTTGTTGATCTGAAGATGGTGATGTCAGCACCCTGACAGGTTTGGTTTTTTTTTTTTCCCCTAAGGAACATTTGCACTTTGTGATGGAGATTTCTCATGATGAGATTTTTATTCTGGACCCAGATATGGTGGTGTCACAGCAGACAGGGACACCTCCAGGAATGCCTGACCTGGTGGTTGAACAGGCTTCGGGGTGAGTGTGTTTCTTCTTGGTTGGTGGCTCATTGGCTGGCTGTGGAGTCACCCCTGTATCTCCTTTGGCTTTGGACTTGATATTCTAATGACATAAAAACATTTTGAATGTAGATTTATTGATGTTTCCTTAAAGTAAAATGCATCTGGTTCTGTATGTCAATCTTCTGAATGGCTGTGAAGGAATTCTCTAGCTTAGCTAGCCTCTTACCTTGTTGGATCTTTATTTACTATTCTGTGCTAGGGGCTAGAAATACTGATACTTCCATTTTCTGCATCTATATGGGTTTTATTTGGCCTTATATACAGATCAAATGTTGTCATGGATGATTTAATCTTCTTCTTTTCGCCTTGTTTCTAGATTGCTTGAAACAAAATATCTAGATTGTTCTTGCCACTCTTGTATCATTCATTGTACTTCATAGTGACTTGATTTCCTTAAGTATATTTTCCCTTATCTGTGAGTGCAAATACTGATATCACCTACTAATAAATTGGTTGTAGAGTAAATAAATTGACACAGGCAAAACACTTAGAATACTTTTATCATGTGGTAGACATTCACTGCATATTATTATCATTTTATAATAACCCTACAAATTGAGTTCTGTGAGTATCCTAAATCCATAGATAAGAAAATTGAGGGAGGCTTAGGGTTATATTGCTTACCTAATTTTGCATAGAAAGTAGACATAAAACCTGAGATTGAACTACATTGTTTCTGATACAGATCCCATGATTTGTTTTTAGCTGAAGTAGGTTTTATTTTTTAATTTTCATATGTTCAGAAAAGTTGTCCTGCTAGGCAGTTGTGGCACACACCTTTAATCCCCACAGATGCAGGTGGAGCTCTGTGAGTTTTAGGCCACCTTGGTCTACACAGAGCAAGTTCCAGGATAACCGGGGCTACACAGAGAAATCCTGTTGTAAAGAGAGAAAGACCCATTTTTAGAGATAAATTTTGTTCTGTTTTTTAGTTGTTATTATAAAAGCACTTAATTTGCATATAATTTAAATAGGCAGCTATATTTCTCCAAAATTTAATTAGCACTAAAGAAAAGTTTCACAGATTACTGTACTAAAACACTATTTGAGGGACTGGAGAGATGGCTCAGCAGTTAAGCAGTCACTGTTCTTGCAGAGGGCCTGAGTGTCATCCTCAGCCCTCACATTGGGAGTCTGCGCCATCTGCATTCCAGATTCAGGGAGTCTGATGCCCTCTTCTGTACTCTGTGGGCACTTACACTCACATGTATACATACCCACACGTAAAGACACAATTTCTATGCAAATAAAAAAATAAAATAAATCTTAAAAAGAGTATTTGAGACTGAGTCAAAATTGAAAATTAGAAAAGTTTACAAAAAAGCCTTCGATGTTCTTAAAGCAAATGACATTATAGTTATCATTATGTTCATAGTAAAATCACAGTACCATATTGTAAAATGTCTATTATTTAAAAAAACATTTAATAATTCAAAAATACTTATTTGGAGTTATTATGCACCAGGTACTAGTGTAAATATCTAAGAGCCAATAGCTCAAAAGTATGAATAGACAAATGTTTCTGTCCTTGCAAAGGGTAACAGATAGTGGCTTCCTGGTGTATGCGACCGATGGCTAAAATGCAGGTTGCTCAGGAAAGCATATCCAGGCACTCAAAGCCAACACAGATTGTATATCCATAAAAGCATAAACAAGTGTACTCACCAGAGAGAATCCAGTCTGATGTAATACCCTACTAAGGAAGAAGCAGCTGTTGGTGTCTAAAGTTCACCCCACAGAACAGACTCAGATTTATTTGATGAGGATGGAGCCATCTGTTAAAATAGCTTTGGACTTTTTCCCCCTTCCATGCCAAGTAGTCACCCAAAGGAATAGCTTTCTTCTTGGTTAGAATTTTGTTACTCCGATCCATTTGACTGTCAGTCCATCCTTGGTTTCTTGTTTCTCAGCCTTCTGAAAACAAAGATGCTATGAAGGTTGGACTTTCTCATTTTCTGAATTATGTTTCTGTGTCTGACTCCTTTAACTCTTTACTCATGTCGCATGTAGTACAATGACTTAATCTTCAAATGGAAGTACCTCCTCAGTATAAAAAAAGAAAGACAAAAATACAAATAATAGTTCAGGACTGTTGAGAAATGATGAATATGAAGTATGTTATAGTAAAAATGGATTTTCCCTCTCACATTTAGAACAAGATCATTATAAGAAAAAAGTAGAGTAGCCTGTTCCATTACTTTCTGGTGCTATTTTTGCCCCAGGCTGTCTGACTGGTGGAACCCTGCTCTGAGGAAACGTATGCTGAGCGACAGTGGGCTGGGGATGATCACGCCCCACTACGAGGACTCAGATATGAAAGATTTCAGCCACTCCAGAGGGTTACAGTGAGTCTCCCGCTGTTTTGTAATTACTTTTTGAGATTATAATATAACTACATCACTACCTTTCCCCTTCCTTCTTCTAAGTTCTCCCTTATACCCCTCCTTGCTTTCTGTGAAATTCCTGGTCTGTTTTTTATTAATTGTTGTTGATGGTGGTGGTGGTGAGTGTGTGTGTGTGTGTGTGTGTGTGTGTGTGTGTGTGTTACTTGTGCAAGAGCCATAGACCATTTTAACAAAAACTTTAACACTAGGCATAAAAATTCCTCTTTTGGGTTGTTGGTCAGAGTTGTCGTAGATACTCCCAGAACGGGATAGGCTATTGCTACTGCCCTTGCTTCTTCCCCAAAGGTGGAAGGTAAGTCCTGTTGCTGAAAACACCATGTATGTCAGACACAGGGCCAAGAGCTGGGCCTTGCTGTTTGCATTTGTGACACTGTGATTGATGGGGGAGGAAGGATCTGCAACATGGACTATTAGCTGGTACCTCTGCTGTCTCATATCTCTGTGTCACTCTTGACATTTTACTTGTTTTGTTTGGCTTTGGCCTGATGTATCTCTAACTTCTATTGATCTTCCTTGTGAGCTTCCTTGAGACTGGACACTTGGGTCTGTAAACACTTTGGACTTCACTAGTGTTTTTGTTACTAGAAACCAGAGTACGTCATATCCCTCTCAGAACTCCATCCTGAAGACCTATATGAGAGCTTTGAATAGTTAAGAAGGGCCACACAGGTTTTCATTGTGTGACCATTGGGATTGGCTGCTGTATCTCAATTTCTGAATGTGTGTATATGCTTTTTGCAACATTGCCCCATAGGTTCTTTCTTTCTACAGTGGTGTGATAGTTTTAATTGTCACCTTGACATAATTTAGTACTACCTGGGAATAGAGTCTCAGTGTGGCATTGTCTAGATTGTTGGCCTATCAGCCTGACTGAGCTAAATTTTCTTATAGTAATTGATGTGGGAAGAGCCAGCCTAGCAATGGGTGGTAGCACTTCATGAGTTTGAGTTTTGGACTTTATAAAAGAGGAGAAAGTTTACTAAGTAGCATGGATGCATTAATTCACCTTTCTCTAATCCTGAGTGTGGATGTGATATGACAACTAAGTCCAGGTTCTCCCACAGAAACTTTCCCAGAGTGATAGCATCACCTGGAACTGTGGACTGCAATCGATGCTTCCTTCTCTAATATGACATAAAGGAAGCTGGGACAAGCTAGGCATTATTCGAGTGTGTGTGTGGCATGTATAGGTAAACAAATACAACTCCTGTGTGTAGGTGAGCACTGTAGCATCCTTTCTCTTCAGGTATGATCACGGTTGGAAAAGTAGCATCAGCTTGGAGTTTTGCAAAGAGGTTGATACTTGGTGCTGAGTGAATCATCTTGTCTGCCCATAATTTGCTGCAGGAACACATTTTAGAGAACACTCTAAGGTCACAATTAAACTCGTTTGTGCCCAGTTTTAACTTCAGGACAATCACCCAATCACAGAAGATATGGAAGTACTCTGCCATTTACGAAATGACCTTTTTTTCCCCCCCAATCCAGTACAGGGTTCTAATCAAATAGTGACACTGGCTTTATAACATTCAATCTTACATTTCCACAGAATAACAAGATTACTAAGCTTCTTAGAAGCCCCCAGTTAAAATAGGAGTCAAGACACTGCATTGTTTCTAAAGAAAGACCGGAAGCAATTTCCCCAGGACAAAGGGAGAAAAATGAGAAATCTCAAGCTAATTATTTCATTGGCAAAGGTTCTACTCGGGCACTGTGAGGGCAAAAGAGACTTCATTTTAATTACTTCCCTGTATTACCTCTTATTTTCTTACGTGAAGAGGAGAAAGAAAGAAATGAATTGCTATGGATTTTCTCTTTTTAATTAAACTGTGTTGGTGGTTTCAGGTAGCATTTTGATTGCTTACAATTCAGAATGTTTTTCTATTTCTTTTTTGCACAGAATTAGGGCTTGTGGACAGGGATGACTCAGCTATCTGTGAATAGATAAATAAGTGACTATCTATCTGTGGCCAGACTTATTGGAAAATTAGAGTTTTAATTATCTGCAGAACTAAATATCAAGCCTTCACGGACAAACTGAATGTTTCAGTATATATCTGTGATTTCCAGAGAGTGGACTATTACCTCAATCTTGGCTCCTGTAGTCAGAGTGTTCTCTAGAGAGCATATTGACATACACATCATAACATATGAAGTGGTTGTTTCTAAAGTAGTGGATGGACATTCTTCCCAAGAACTGCAAATACATGCAGCACTTCCCATAACAGCCAATGTCAGAATGAACTCTTGATTTCTTTTTGAACTGCACACTCTCCTCTGTTTCTCTGAACCACAGTAGATACCAAAGTGCTTTATGAAAAATGGTTCAGTGTTTGCATATAATACACTTCTCTATTCTATGTACTACCTATGTGACATGAAGAGATGAACACTGCATAAGTAGTTGTGGTGCTGTATTATTTAGAGAAGAATAACAATAGCCATCCACATGTTTTCTACAAACAATATTTTGTTGAAATTTTTTTAAAGTCTTTGATTGGTTGAATCCTTGGACACAGAGCACTCATTGTAGTATCTTTTTGTACTAATTGATGTAGGAGGGCCCAGCCCATTGTGGGTGGTACCATTCCAGGAGAGGTAAGCTTAGGCTGAAAGCTAACCAAGCATAAACCAGAGAAAAGTAAGTAAGTAAGCCATAAGTAAGTAAGCAACTATCCTCCATGGTTTGTGCTGCACAACCCTGCTTGAGTATCTGTCTTGACATCCCTTGATGATGAACTGTGACCTGGAAGTATAAGCCTTATAAACCCTTTCCTCTCCAAGTTGCAGTATCTTGATAAATGTCTTTCTGTGCTACAGCATATATATATATATATATATATATATATATTCACAGTTTATTAATATTGCAAAGTACCTTCACAGTGGAAATATTCAAGAATAAATAAATAAATACATGGAAAGAACATGAGGAACTATTGCAATGAGACTATCATCTGCTAGTCCAGCTTTAAAGCTTCAATCAACATGGAGACAAAAAGGTTTAATTTCAACATCTTGATGCTATAAAGTAGATGATTCCTGAAGAACAAATAGAAGCCATTAAAACTAATAAATATTATTTATCAGAATTTTGACATTAAAATAGCTTTCACACAATAATTTGTGACTCTAAACTATCAATAAAAGTTATTGTATACAAATATATAAAGTATTTCATTTGACAGGAGAACCTCAGTAAAGAATGAAGGCATACTTACTGCAACTTGATATGCTAAGACTGGTTGATATTTCTGAAGAGAAATAGAGAAGGAGTGGATTGGGAAGGGAGGGCAGGCAGTGAGGGGGGAGCACTGGGAGAAGAGGAGCCAGGGGATACTGCAGTCAGGATGTAAAGTTAATCAATTAATTAAAAAATAAAGACATAGGGAGAGAGACAAACAGGCAATATAAAGACATAAGTCAATAGCAAAAAGAAAAAGGCAAAATAAATGACTGAGAATTACATTGAAAAAGTTGGTTCTTTGAGAAGATAAATAAGAGAGTCAATATTCTGGACGGGATAGGGAAAAGAAGACTAGTGCCCAGTTTGCCCAGCTCATTTTACTGCCACAGCACTCATGTCACTCCAAGGCTTTTCCCCACTCAAAAGTACCCATGTATCTTCTCAGTATTTTCTCGTTGTTTGAGCACTTAGTTTCTTAGACACACCATTTTCCATCTTTCTTCAAGGATGGTGAAAATGAAGCCATGAACAGGAAGAACTGTTTTTGTCTCTGCTGTATCTTTTTGAGTTCACACTGTTTCCATTTAGCATCATGAGAATTTGGGGGTAGGTATGAACATGCCCATGCACACAGAGGTCCTCCAGAAGGGTCTCTGATTCCAAGGAAGGATGCACAAGTTGTACACTGTCCTTCAAAACCTGAGAACAGAGTAAAGGACAATCTTGAAGATCTGATTTTGAAGTAAATTGGCAAGAGGTGACTGACACAATTTTCTGTTAGGGTTGTAATGAATTTGCCTTAGGTTTAACAAGATGATTTCTGTGTCTAAGAAAGTATATTTAAAATAGCATGTAGGTGGAGCTTTTGCCCAGTACATATAGACCCCCTTGTGTAGCATGTACAAAACGCTGAGTTCAATAACAATACCTCTTTAACATGTGTTGTGCCCAGGGTTGGTGATAAGAAAAGCAGAAGTACAAGATTGTTCTTAGTTACACAGAGAGTTAGTGTGAACTGTATAAGATCTTGTTTCATAATATAAGTACATTTTTGTCCTTATCATTAATTTCTCAACAATTACCCTTAGTGAGACTGTGTTTTGTTTGGAGGGAAGACTAAAAATTTAGCAAACAATCTATTTGGAGTGCTCATCACTTCATCCATGAGACAAGAAAGGAAATGAAAACTCCAGTGTGCTATGAGCACTCTGAAAATAGGTAAGAGTAACATTTGAGTCCACCGGGAGTCGACAGGCACACGGCCCAGAGATGGATTTAGCTTCTAGTAACAACAATATTCCGGGTTTCAGATTTTTGCTTTAGGAGACAGTACTGTATTGATGGAAAGACGTGCATTTATTCACTACATTATATGTTATATTAATATATCATTATTCTCAAGTCCTAAGCCTGGAAGGTTCAAGAAGAAGGAATTTCATCTAAGTAAGAAGGGACTGTTTTGGCCCTGGTGTAAGATACACGGGTGAAACTATATTATACAGCCGAAGGACAGGATATAGCCCGAAACTAATAAGAAGTGACATTAAGTTTATTATGAAGCCTTGGGGATTCTCATGTCTAAGCTTTTATCTGTTACATTATCAGTTACCTTGACCTTATCAGCTGGTCAAGGCTGATAGATCTCTGCGATTGGCAGAACATTTCATTCTCCGACAAGAGTCATTGTAAGCAAGCTTGAGTGAAGTCTGACTTACAATTTCATTTTACTTCTGGGAAACACATTCAACTACTT